GCCGAAATGTGTCAGCTGAGGGAACGTGAGTTTGAGACATTCACACTTATGCCCAATGAATCAAATCCACTTACGATTGTCATCCATAACAGCCACTAGACTGACTTACGTGCGTGCCGTTACGCATTTTGAATGCTGAATAATGAAAAAAAATGAGACACATATTTCAGTCTTTCCGAACATTTCAGAACTTAAGTTTCAGAACATGTTTCACTGTCCTTATTATTTCTTATTGATGGCTTTTTGTTAGCAAATCGCAGACATATACATCATTGGATAGTGCTTGAAATGCCTTGTTAATATAGATAAAATGCACACACTATACGTCATTTCACAATCGCTATCCTTGATGATTTTCATTATAAACGTACTTAACAACATTTAAACAATAGCTCTGAAATTTGAGACATGATATTGAACACTATAAAGCTATAAAAAAATTTGTCCAGAATATTATGCCACAATGACTGGATTGCACGAAAGCTTAGATTTACCAATGGCAGTAAATACCAATTAAGTTGGGTAATGTTTACTTTGCTTTTTCATAAACAATACTAACTGGAATTGAAAATGGTAGTAAATAAAAGTCAAAGCTGGTAACTCCGAACATGGGTTTGAAATTACCGAAATAAAATTACCAGAGTTTACTTTTTTACTACCATTGTAAAGCCAGATACATACTAAGTAAACTACCTGAATTTACTACCTTTGGTAAATCCGACTTTTCGTGCAGTGAGCTTTTGTTGGGTTCATGACATCGTCTTCCAAAGCATCTTCCGTAGATCTGTACGTGACTAGTCGACTCCACAAGGCATGCTGTTCATGTTCAGGTGAAGTTTTATGAATTAGTACCCTGCAGTGAAATAACACCGTGCAAAGCAATGGTTGCAATGACTGGACTGTACGAAAGCATTAGATTAACCAATGGCAGTAAATAACAGTAAAGTTGTGTAATGTTTACTTTGCTTTTTTTTACAAAAACTACTAAAATTGTAGTAAATTAAAGTCAATGATGGTGATTCCGAATTTTACGTAAAATTACCGGACTTGACTTTTATTTACTACTATTGCAAAGCCAGATACTAAGTAAACTATACCTGAATTTACTACTTTTGGTAAATCCAACTTTTCGTGCAGTGAGCTAGTATGTATGAATTAGTACCCTGCAGTGAAATAACACCGTGCGAAGTTCCAATGACAGACTTGGAGATGGAGTGTGACAATCATCTGAATCAGTAATCAGGTTTATGGGACGCCCTTTTTGATTCTCCGACCCAGGGAAGCTTGAATGTTACACTTGGCTATTCCTAGCACACGCTGACACCGTGCGTGGAATACGCTTAGACAGAAAGACAAACTTTGCAGTTCAAGAAATAAGACTATGCGTATCGACACAATGAACCACGTTGGACTTAAAATTATTGGACATTGTCGTTGGCTTCACTATGTTTTATATTTCTGGTACTATCTACTTTATATCACGATAGTAAAATGTCTTCAATAGAGCTAAAATCTACAAGGCCAACAACGTGCTATCACCTCTATAGATGATTTATATTCTCAAACGCCTTGGTTTAATCACTAGATGTTGAAGTCTTAACACATGGCGCCAACTTGTACATGCTGGTACATGTATTACCCAGTAATACTCTAAATGAAACAAATATGCTTAAACTATAGATACGTTTAAAATAAGTATGCGTAGAAGGGATATTTTGTAAAAGACTTTTATTCCAACTATATGTACAGATATTCTGTGCACCTACTTACAAATTGGTACAGATGCAACACAACGACAGTCGGAAAACCCCACTACGCCATACATGGTTTATGACAATGAGTATAGTCTAGTAGAATCTTAACATAATCTTCGTTGAGAAGGTTATGTGTTAGGTACACCACATATAGGGGTTGCAATTTTTTTTGAACCGGTTCATATATAACATGAGGTGTGGAGCATGTATCTTTATGATATGTGGTAGGTATAGGTAAGTTGGGGTTCGGAAAACAAAGGTCAAGTTCAATCGTGGGTACAAATTTAGCGGGTTTGTACGGTACTGCAGCGGTGTACATGGGTATGATATCTCGAGTTTGATTTTTGCTCGTGACATTGCAAACCAATTGCCATTGGTGTGTGAGAAATGGGTATGCGACGTAGTTTTCAGTGAAGTTTCTGTTTTTGGTAGCGTGTGCATGTGTTCCCCTTTTTGGTATTTTATGCAATCCCTAGGTTATCAGAAGTACAATTCTAGATAGAATTCATTCATTGTATTTAATGACTATGAATTAACGATTGTAAGGCCACACTGACATAATTTTATAAATGGCATCCTCTGAAGACCCCCTCGTAATGGCGAATAAAAAAATTCCAGCCAGAAAAAAATGCCCCTTAACCACAGGAATACAAAGCTGGGATTGTGAATTTGCTATAGTACATAGCGACGTTTACGACAAGCCGGCACATGCTGGCCCTTTGCGGCATTTATGAGTCGGCACTATACTGAGTTCTTCAGTTCCGTGGAGCTTCAGCAGCCTGGGTGCCATCCTTCGTAGTTACCACCGGCTCCTATTGTCACTAGCTACCATGAACTACGGAGGATGGCACCCAGGCCAGAGCCTCGTCGGAGGTGATATTTTTTTTAGACCATTCGGATATAAATGCGCGTGCGGATATCATCCATGAAATTGAATCAGTGTGTCCTAAGTAAATAAAAGATCTTCGGTGATGCAGAAGCGAGCACCCGGCAGTCTATCACGATACCAGACTTCTCCAATGATAAATGACAGCGTATAATCCGGGCGCCAACTCTGCACCAGACAATAACAGAAGTGCAGCCATCCAATTGGCCCGTTAATTTTCCCGTCTGCTGCAATTTTGGCGGCAATAGACCAATCCAGAGGCTCCGCCCACCTCCATCAAAACATAGGAATGCAAAAAATTGACGGACATTAAGCCACTCTCTCATTGGTCGAACCACTAATTGCCCTTCTCTCATTGCACCAGACAATAACAGAAGTGCAGTCATCCAATTGGCCCGTTTATTTTCCCGTCTGCTGCAATCTCGACGTTAACAGACCGATCCAGAAGCTCCGCCCACCTTCGTCAAAACATAGAATGCAAATATTGGACAAACATCAAGCCACTCTCTCATTGGTCGAGCCGCTAATTGCCCTTCTCTCATTGGTTGAACTTTTAATTGTAATTGATAATCGGTCTCTCCGGCAGCATGCCGACCGTAACTAGCTCGAGAAGGTGGTTATAGGATTACGGCCGTAACATATATTTTTTTTATTACCAGCAAGAGGTTGCTGTTTGGCATAAGTGAAGTGATAAGTCTTCGGCTAATATCTTTAGTTTTGGATTTTAGAAATGGCATAGCAAAATGACTAATCCAAAAACGATTAAAGTGCGTATAGTGTGGACCATTGTAGTGACAAACAGTCCTCATAAAATATAGTTATAGCTCCGCAGTAATACATTTTATCATCATATACACCTATACTGAGTGATAAATGATGGGCTTCAAGTATACCAAATGACGTCCTACGACTCGTTTTACTAAAGAAGTAAAGCAAAGACACAAGTAGATAAACAAACTATGGTTAATTTGTTTTTTATATTACAACATTTCATGACTAGACAGGGTGACGGCACACTCAAGTTATATCAACCTATTTTGTGCCGCCACCAACGCTTAACGCAGAGGACAAATACAGGACAGGGCAATACTCATTTTCACTTAAGTGAGGAAAGTCGTGTTAAGTGCCTTTACCAATGACACAAGATCGGGGGCATGTCAGGACTCGAACCCGGGACCTCTTGGTTCCGAGTCGAGCACTCTGCTGTTACGCCACACGACCCCACTAAACTACGGACAATTGACAAGTAAAGCAAAGAAACAGGTGAATGAAGAAACTATTACTTGTTATGACTCACAGTCGTTTGATATATTGTGGTGTTCATATCTTTCTTAACATTAGCCATCATTTGCAGATTCCGCAAAGTAAAGCAAAGAAACAAGCAAATGAACAAACTACCACTTGATATTACTAACTGTCGTTTGATATATTATGGTGGTCACATCTTTGTTAAACAACATTAGCCATCCATTGCAAATTACGTTGTCGATAGAATTGTACTGAAATGAGTGTATAACAGTGCGTGTATAACAGCAGTGTTGACATTGCCCTTTGCTAAAAGTGTACAACAACACAGGATACTGCCATATGCCAATCTCGTCATTGAATAAAAGTGTGTGGCTGATGAGATATGATATGTTTCTTCTTATATTCGCGATGGATTACAACGACATCACACATGTCAAGGGCACGAAACGTCTAGCAGAAAGTACGACGAAGATGTAGACTGCACTGGTGAACCTTACACGTTGAAGAGGGTTTTCCACAATTTACAGCAGGTACATGTATGATGCAGCGAGCAATGTATTAGTGACTCTACTCTCAGACTGGTTATTTGAACCTCGAACCTTGGAGATCAGTAAACGGAGAATCTGAGCTGGCTGGACTCAGCATACGACATCCTGAGCTGTTGGAGAGCCAGATTATCCCATGGGAGCCGGCAGAGGAAAGGAGGAGAGGGGGGACAAGAAGTACAACCTTCATTGACAACCTGAAGCGGGATGCTGGGCTCAGAAATATCTGTGACAACAGCAGAACTTCGCTCACTGATGGAGGACAGGTAGTCTCCACCAGAATTCTTTTGCAGGCTGAATAAATCGTAAAAATCGGCCTAAAAAGGGTAGCTGTCCATCGACGATCAAATTGGACTGCAAGATACCGACTTCTCACACACTTCTTGCAGGCCAATTTGATCGTCGATGGCCGCCACCTTCTCTTGCCAATTGATACCCTTTTAGGCCGATTTCTACGATTTATTCAGCCTGCAAAAGAAGTCTGGTGGAGACTAGAGGACAGGGACGATCGAAGAAGAAGTATCCATTGTCTCTCGTAGGCCGTGTTGACATCCTCTGATTCCTGTTATCTAATCTTTTAGAAGCACAGAAGAACGCGATCTTGGCTCTCTCACAGGCACAGGGTTGTCGCGTTGTTCTTCCAACAGAACGTTACACGATCCAGCTAGACTGTCGGAGTCGGGGATGACGTACAAGCCTTGTTGGTCAGGTGTTAGGTGGTCAGACGACTGGCTTCCACCGTTCGGAGGCAGGCTGGTGACCCGCTGTGTCTTCAGGTTCTGAAGCCAGGATGTGATGTCGGTGAGCTGTTGTCGTTCTTGAGTTTCTTCCGGTGTATCCGAGTTTCTGCAGTGACAAATGACACGGATAGAGATGGGGACATATAGAGACACAGATTGTCAGACCAAGTCACAAAACCATACGGAACTAGAGTTCCACGATCTCATGCCTTCGTCAAATGATGTTAATCTTCACGACTGACGGAGTATGTATGTTTCACATAGATTGTGAGAAATTTTTGTCTACCAAAAATCATGAACATCCATTCACATATACTCGAAAAGAAAAAGTTCTACTGTAGTGATGACGTAGGGACCCTCCACGAGTTTTGAACTTGACCTTGGTCTCCCCAACGGTAACCTGCCTGCCAAAAGTAATGAACATCGAACCATGCCTCCAAGAGTTATGCCTCCATAGTCACTATATATAGCAAAGTGAAGGCAACAACGAAGAACGGATTGGGTCTGGAGATCCCCCACATAGGGATTTACATCGTCACCAGGACTTCAGGAAGAATAGTATAAACTAGAAAGGTAACATCTGCAAAGTAAATTAACAATGTTTGTTCTTACTCAAATACATTCATATATATGGTGACAGCGGTCTAAATCCCTCCTGCTATAAAATTACAACATGATGTAACCCAATTCAAGTTACCATGGTGACAGATGTCCAGTTCAGGTCATTGACCTAACTTGTTTAGAGAAGAAGAAGAGGAAGAAGAAACAGAGCAAACACAATATGTTTTCCTTCTGCGAAGGTAAACATAATTGTCACACTGACAGAGGTCCTAATCAATCAATCAATCAATCAATCAATCAATCAATCAATCAATCAAACTTACGCCTTCTTCCTAAGTTCCCGCTCTAGGTTGGTCACGTGAGACAAGGCGATGTCCAACTGTTTGCGAGTCTCCTCCACCTCCCGTTCACATCCGGGACAGTTGCAGTTGGCCTCTGGTCGGTCATCATCATCATCACCATCCTCGCGTGTCAACAAGGCGTGGTGGAGTCTCTGTGTGACAAGCGGAAAGCACAGTAGGACCATAAGATCACAGGAAGAGTGTGAAAAATTTAAAGACATCCAATGCAGTTATTAGGGTTTGGAAACACAGTTTTCAAAATCAATATTCTATTCACTTATCTACAAAGTACTGAGTTGAAACAACACTTTCCCAATGTATTTTTGACCCTCTTGAAACGAAACTACCAAAAATTATGACGGAAAACGGCAATTGGAAGAGCCTTTGGTTGATTTTAGGGAACCTCCCAGAAAATAAAGGACTCATCTTCAGGCTTGCTTCTGCAGTTTTTAATGCCCCAAAATATGAAATACTGATTGAAATGTGCTAATGTGAGGCAGTATGTGTCAATATCATAAATATTGCCTTATTCACGATATTTCCAGTTTTGATTCTCTGAAATCGCATTGGATGCCTTTAGTCATTGATGATAAAGTATAAGGTTAGCAGCACATGCATTTAGTGCAAGGCCATGCCGAAGGATACACTAGATACAGATGCGTTTTTAGGTCAGGATCTTTAAAATTGGTGTCGACACGTACACCACCTAACTTTCCTCTTAAACATTGCTCAAGGGATCGAACACATAGGACCCAATTGCTCTGCATACTGTAAATTACACTATAGAAGTAAGAAGACGTTTTGCCTCATAGATGTCAATTGGCTAGGGTGGGTAGGGTGTAGTGGAGTCTCTGTGTGTCAAGAGAGAGTACAGTAGGGTCATAAGATCACAGGAAAAGTGTGGAAAACCTCTTATCAGAAGAAGAGCATTAGTCGTTGATGATAAAGTGTAAGATTGCCGCACAATTTTAGTGCAAGGCCTGACCTTTTTAGGTCAGGAACTATGTTGTCGATCGACACGTATGCCATCCAAATTGCCTCTTAAAAGTTGTTAGTGGAACAGAATATCTAGGACACATAAAGTCGCACTCGTGATAAGAAGTATCATTGCATATGCAGTAGAGATGTTATTTCAGTCAAGTTTGCTTACTGGTTCCTACTACTTATCACCACGCCTTATTGGAATGTCGTCGATGATAACATGTAAGATTGCCACACAATTTTAGTGTAATTGTAAGGCCTGGCGTTTTTAGGTCAGGAGCTTTAGAATGACGTGAGCTTTGGCACGTTCACCATCCAAATTGCATCTTAAACGTTGTTCATGAAACGGAACATGTAGGATCAAATTGCACAGTAAGGTGCACTCATGATAAGAGGTGGCATTGCATGCATCTGCAGTACAAATGCTATTTCAGTCACAGTGATTTTAAGTGCTTGCTGGCCCATCGATTTTCCTCACTTCACTCAGGTGTAAATGAGTACCTAGCTTCGGTTAGGGACGTCCCTCGGATAGGACGTAAACTGGAGGTCCCGTGTTTGAGGAGAGCCACACCTCGAGCACGTTAAAGATCCCACCACACCTTTCGAAAAAGAGTAGGGGCATGCCCCGGTGTGCGATGGTACAAATACTACTGTATGGAGTTTGGTGATTCACTCAAATCACCCGGACGGAGGCCTGGCGACCTCACGGTCTTGTACAAGCCACATGGTGATTAACATCATTCACCCGGACGGAGACTTGGCGACCTCCGTCTGTATCAGCCAAAATCTTGGAGAGGAGATAGGCGCCGCAAGCCTAAGGAGCCATCGTGACAAGTCCAGACATGCTGCTGGCTGTCATGGTGCCCCGACGACCGTTAAGGTTATGGGACTTACACAACATACTGGCCCATATTACTTATCACCAAGCCTATAGTTAATGTTGCACACACGATACTAATAATTGGAATTACAGTTCGAGCACAAAGCCTTATAGGGAATTTGTTTCTCAGGTGAAATAGTAGATAGTTCCAAATCCTTCAGATTTGCTCACCGAACTGATAACTTGCATGACGTTCTGCAGACCCTGGTGTGCTTTGTAATGCCTCCGGACGAGCGGGCGGAACTTCCAGAAGAATATGTGCTCCATGCCCAGAACGATGCAGCTAGAAGAAAAGGAACAGACTGTTAGAATTACAAAGTTATTACTTCCTCTATGACTTGCAGCTCATGTCAGCTACAATTACTTATCTTGAAAGTCCATTGTATTGGTAGAAGTCATTATGAAACAAGTTTGAACTGTAATATCCAGAAACAAAAATTGGACTCACCCCAATTTTCGACTGTACAACTCCAGTTTTTGTCAAGGAATGACCTAGATTGACTACCTCGGAAGTCTCACAGCATATACATATTGAATCGCCTGGACACTCAGTCTCATTGGATAAAGTTAGAATCTTGGACACAGAGGCGGACTTTTTCGTACGAGGGATTAAAGAGGCCATCTACATCAGGGCATTACAACCATCCCTCAACAGAGACGGGGGGGCACCACAGGCTTTCTGCAACCTGTGATCCACTGCTCACGGAGTCATGTGTGTGACGTCACGGAAGCGGTGGATTGTTCATTCCTTGACAAAGACTGGAGTTGTACAGTAGGAAAATTGGGCGAGTCCAATTTGCTGTGTTGGATATTACAGTTTAAACTTGTGTCATTACAATTATTTTAACCGTATTCTGTTGGAGCCACACAGAAAAGTCTAAAATGTACTTCAGCAGACGTGTTACCATGATTATTTGCATTTGAGTATCTTTTAATTGTTCTGGACGCTTTGCCACTTCCACTGAAGCATATCACACTTTCGTCCCCCATACACCACCTCTTAGGAGGAAGTTCCACGCTGAAATATTCTTTCCTAGAGCAATATCACTATGGAACAAGCTACCGCATGAATGTTTCCCGCAGGGGTACAACCTTAAACTTTTTCAAGTCTAAGGTCAACAAACATCTGTCCTCACTGGCCGTACACTAGCCCAAAACATTTGAGTGGCTCTCATGAGCCTTGTTTTGTGGTAAACTATGAAGTAAATAAAAACTAGAAAGGTAACATTTGCAAAGCAAATGCATAATGTTTACCTTCGCATATGGTCTGCTCTGTTACTTCTAACTAACACATTCACATACATGGTGACAGAAGTCCCTCCTACTATAAAATTGCAACATTATGTAACCCAACACCAGTTACCATGGTGAGAGCCAGTCTGGTCATTGACCAGGACATAGGTCAGTGTTTGGAACGGAAGAAGAAGAAGAAATAGAGCAAAAACAATATGTTTTCCTTCGGTAAACATAAGAACAAATTGTATGAAATTGAGCGATGCATCATTTAGGAGATAATCTATGAACCTGAAGAGTATGGCAGCAATGAGGAGGAAGAAGCAGCTGGCACAGTTCTCCACGGTCAATTTACTGCTGGTCAGCTCAGAGTTCTGCTTGTCTTTACAGGCACCAACAAACCACGAGCCTTTCAGGTTCTGGAGAACTCCTGAAACAAAAATTAGGAAGAGCGTAAAAGTTCATATGTGTTGGTAGAAGTAGACACTAAGCTTTATATTTCCAACACTTGAATAAATTGGGACTTCTTCAACCTTGTTCACGGAATGGACCCGTCTACTCTTGGAACGTGACGTCAGAGACACGTGACCGTAGTAGCGGGTCATACGTGCCAGATAACTTGTGTCGCCCCCCTCCCGTCTATGCTCATGGTAGCTCTGTAAGCTCTAATGTATACCGCCTCCTTCACTCCTCTTGCAAAAAATTCAGATTCAGAATCGAGGATTTTGACTCTTCTAAGGATACGGAGTGTCCCGGAGATTTAATATCAGTCAACTATGGGTCAATTCCGTGAACAAGGTTGAAGGAGTCGACCAAAATGTGGGGTAAGTCCCGATTTATTCAAGTATTGGAAAGAAAGCTTAGTCTCCACTTCATAAAAAAAGAAAGAGTGTGACATGTTGCAACAGGTTTACATCAAAGACTTTGCAACAATCTGTAACCTCACGATTCATCTTACAACGTCAGATAATATACATCGCGTTATCAAACAGCAGAGAAATCAGTATTATCCCATGCAATATTCCAACGCAAATTAATCAAGCATACGTCAGAAGACTTTGACGTGAAAGTTATCCTAGCAACACATTTTATAAGTAAATATGTCACTACAAATCTGGCGGCTTTATACTGAAATTTTAATAAAATAAAATAAAACTAGAGATGTAATATTTGCAATGCAAATGCATGTTTACCTTCGCATATGGTCTGCACTGTTTATTCTTACTCAAACACATTCACACATATGGTGACTAGGGTATAAATCCCCACTGCTATAAAACTGCAACATTATGCAACCCAACACTAGTTACAATGGTGACAGACGTTTGGTTCAGGACATTGACCTTATTTGTAGGGAGAAGAAGAGGAAGAAGAAACAGAGCAAAAACTATGTTTTTATTCTGCAAAGGTAAACAAAAATAAACAATTCTTACCTTGGCCTGCATAGAGTAGGATCTTAATGTTGATCAAGTTGCGCCAGTAGGTTTGCTTTCCTTTCGGAAAGGCGACTCCGTACCCGGTTGTAGCGAAGGTCTTCCCTACGGTTATAACCTATGTGGGAGAGATATAGTTTGTCAGATTCTTTATTGACTTAACAAAAAGTACAGGTACTATTGTATGGTCTACTAGAACTTAAGATATAACAAAGCTACATACATGTACGAATAACGTCATCTTATATCAGCATGAAAGTTCAGCTGAGTTGGTGACAAACTCAGTTTTTCATAACGTCATCTTATGTACAGAATATATGAATGCGGCAAACTACGTACAGAATTTATGTCAGCGGCATCAATAAAGGTTTAACTATTCTCTAATATATAATCTCTAAGATTTAAGCATTCTTTAATGTATATCCCTATTTGAACAGTGTATTGGTTATCTCCCCTGAAAATGTAATTGATTGGATTTATCTATTCGATCTAATGTATTTAAATCAATGCCAATCCTTTTCCACGTATACCATGTAAAGATTTTTTTTTGGTTCTTCTTGTTTTATCAGATCATCAATCAGGTTTAAACATTGCTAACTCAACAAACAAACAAACAAACAGTATCATCATCCCATATGTTCCTCTGATTAGATAATTGGTGATGGAATTACATAAGGCGAAGCCTTGATTGGCTAATTAATTAATCAACAATCACAGTAAATCACAATTTGCAAATTACACATTACATAAAATATCCGAGCAGATATCTCAAAACACAAATGAGTTTTTTTTCCAGAAACAAAAATGTTCTGGCTTGTACGTTAAAAGCTATGTAATGTAGACGCCTATATACTGGTTTACTCTTGGGGAATGAATTCGTTTAGATATGCCTTAATTAGATAATGCCTCTTTAATTTTCAACGACGCATCATTGCTTCTGGAGTATTTATCTATAACATCCAATAAAGTAGTGTGATCGCAGCTAGTTTTTCATTATACTAAGGCAATTAGAATGGAAAAATTGGCTTTTTTTATTTCACTTTAGAGCTCCAGAGAACAGTTAAGACCTTTCCCCTACATGAAAATTAAAGACAACAATTGAATATATGGGGAGATAACGATTGAAATGGGAGGGGGGCAATGGGGCCTGAAATGTTCTTGTTAATTATTAGTTTATTGTTAGTAGTTCTCCATTTGTACCAATTATTTGTTATATTATTTTAATGACGTATTTGTTTTAATTATGTTTAATTATGTTATTCATATAATCAGTTTCTTGTCGTAATAACGACACTAATTTTAAGACGGATTTTTTAATTTCATTTCGTTTGTTCAAGTTACTAGATCATGTAATTTAGTTATTTCTGCATTATTATTTGATTTCTTGTTAATGTAATTACTGTTATTTACTATTTCGTTTGGGGGAGGCCCATGAAAAAAACACAGTGGTTTGATACATGTAATATTTATCTATGGAAGATAACAATTATGCAAATACGGCCCTAATTTGCTAAATTAATCTGAAAATTCTATGACTCCTTAGTGGTTGGGGATTTCATACTTAGGTTATGTGTAAGTTTATCAAAAGTTAACACAACGATGCATCTATTATGTTTATGTAAAGGTCATTTGCATAATTAAGGAAGAAATTTACATTAACATCAATATTTCATGGTATGAGGTCTCGGAACTCTTGTTCATTATTTGATTATGTATTTCGTTGTTTATGTGCAAATAAGCAAAATGAATACAAAATACATGAAAAATTGAGACCTTTTCATGAGTTAGACTATTTTACCTGACAATCCTCGTCTCTTCCCTCAAGATACTCGAGAACAGCTGAGTCGTAGATGAACCCTCGCAGTCTCCTAATATTGAAAAAAAAATATTTAAATGCAATAATCAAAATTATTTTTCTTCGAATCCTCTTCATCAAACTCTTATAAGTTTTTTCATAAACATCATAGTTTACGTCGACGAATCCTGACAATAATCTTGCAGTCCGCTTAGTGATTAGGAAGGTACTTGCTCATCATACACACATACGTGTGTTTGGCATATTGCTGTTATTATAGTAGTAATTGTTTCAATTACTCCTTAGATGCGCCTCACAAAATCGCTCAATTTGCTCTTGGACCGCGCTATGGCTACATTGTATGCGTGCATCCGAAGTGGCCCTCGAGAAATTATCCCATAAATATGGTGCGCACGAACCTGGTCTGATTCTGTCAAAATCATGTATCGTCATAGCCTGGGTAGCATCCGGATTTTCGCTCCGTACCGCTCGAAAAAATCCGGATGTTACGATTTTTTCGAGCGTTGCTGAGCGCAAAATCCGGATGAATTTTTTTAGCGTTGCGGAACGAAAATCCGGAAGGTACCAAGGCTAGTATCCTAAAGGAGAACCTTTTCCCACTGGGATAAAATTGTCCGGATCTAGCTGAATAAAATGACGATCAGGTCAACTTTACTGTTGGGAATTAACCGGCTTAGTTCGGCTCGATCCGTCTCAGCTACGACCTACCTTGCGTTGCTGAGCCGGATCGGGAACGTCCCCACCGGATCGAAGCCGGACTCGTCAAATCTATTCGGCTCCATTCAAACAATTTTATCCTAGTGAGAAAGAGCCATAGTCTACTTGTACCTGAAATGCATATTTCTTTTGCCAACAACAAGAACAGGGGGAAACAGTCATGAGGAGAGACACCAAAACTCTATTGCTACTGAGTTACTGAGATGCTGGTGAGGTAAAAAAAGGGAATTTCAACCAAAATGTAAATAACGATTACAGCAAACGAGGATACTAAATTGAAAAAAAAACTCATTAAAAAGTAACAATATTTCGAGCAGTGCAATGGATCAAGTTCTGGCTTCTACTGGTTTCATACGTTGTTTCCGGAGGTATCCTCGAGCAATCCAGAGGTAAAATTCAGATTAAAATTTAATCAAAATTTGACATGATATATGTTCACAGTCATGTTCCTTATAACGGTCTTCCATCACTCAAAAATGCTGATTTCTGTAGTTGCTGCACCTGCCACGACGGGAGAGGAAAAACGTTATCAGTTAGCCTAGGAAAAATATTGTATTTCTTGTTTCAGTCCTGAAAAAATAGGGTCCGTAGGTAGGAATTATCTTTTTCCTTTCTTTGTTTTTCTAGACTTCGGTGATCTCTAGTGATCCAAAATATACAATACAGTTCAGTTAACAAAGTAAAAGTTGTATAAAGACACTTATAGTTTCAATGTTAATGCTAGAAAAAAGAAACAAATTGTACAATGTTTCATCACTCAAGTGTCAGATCATGGAGCTACAAAAGGTTGATCAGCTCGAAGAATTTATGTCTCTTGCAGAGGTCCACACAAAAAAGGCTAGGATCGGCACTTTTTTTTCTAGGATCAGTTGGGAAACAGAAACACAACATTTTTTCCTAGGCCTTACATATATAGTGCTATAATCCTATACGAAGATACGTTGTGTAAAGTTGATAGTGCAGGACAAGAACTTAGGAAGGACGTTCTACTGTGGAAACTACGAGCAGTGTGCACAGTCGGTAGGGTTTCACAATGTACAGATGGGGGAGGGTTACGTTTGTGCTGTTTCGGTTCTCGCCATACCCGTATTGAAGCTTGGTTTCCGTCTGTACCCTGCCAACCCCATCCGAATGCGCACTATTGCCTCCTTCCAAACCGTCCGTTTCGGGCGAGTCTAGTGGCAAGTAGAAACTGCAAACACAACATTTACCATAAAAAATCATGAACAAAACAGCTAAGAAGAGCTCTGAACAAGACTATTTCCTGAGAGGGGTGAAGGAGGCTTTTTTACATCATGGCCCACCACCCTTTACTTAACCGTGACGGGGGCCGACATCGTCTACCAGATACCTTTGACCCAGTGTTGACGTCACACTTCAAAGAAGCCACGTGACAAGCCTCACTGGTTCAGTCTACTGAGGAAGAACTTTTTGTGTTGGACCAAAAGTTTTAACTTTAAACAAGAGCTCAGACAGTTCTAGAGAGTGTCTACTAAAAGCTACATAGTGTTGTAGAAAAATTTAACACCCCAGGCATAATTTGAGCTACATACTATAATACCTCAAATGTAACGTACGAGTTTCAAAACTCACCCGTCTTTTAGGGCAGCTAGAGCTTCCTCTGCGTTTGGTTGGTTGTATCTCTTCATCCACTGGTACATGGAGGAGTAGCGTTGTGCTATGTACTGTTCCGTACTGCTGGATTTCACCGTGCCGAAGGTGAAGGGAGGGGACTGTAGGTGTGGGTGCTGCAGCTGAAAACACGAGAAGTGTACAGTGAGTCGGTGCAATGGCTAAGTGAGTAGAGTGCTCGTCCTGCATTCGGTAGGTCATGAGTTCGATCCCCGGGCCGGCCGAGTCATACCTACCTACCTACCTATAGTCCCATGACCGACACTGGCATGGTCGTCAGGGGGACAAGGCAGCTTGCAGCAGAGACTTTAAAAATGGTACATACTGCTTTCTCTGCTTAGCACTCAGCATTTGGGGAAGGTATGGGAGTTGAACACATACCACTACCAGTGGACTAGTCCCCCCACTGTAGCGATTGCACAATTAACTGTGAGGCCCAAGGGCTACTGAATCGGAGATGGGTGCCACCCTATTTACCACGGATAACAGAAGTACTCATTTTCACTCGAGTAAAGTGAGGAAATGCGTGTAAAGTGCCTTTCACAAGAGCACAAAATCGGTACGTGGCATGGTAGGATTCGAACTTGGGACCTCTTGGTTCTGAGCCGAACGCTCTGTTGTTCCGCCACATGACCCCACAGAAATATTCTCTTTAGAGCTGGGAAACAGGAGAAAAATATCACGAAATTGATGCTAAATTTTTCTTTCTGGGGTGGTCGTATGGCGTAACGACAGAGCGTTCGGCTCGGAACCAACAGGTCCTGAGTTCGAATCCTGCCATTCCACCGAAATGCGGTGGGAAAGGCACTTTACACTAACTCCCTCACCTATTGTCCGTTCATGCGTTTATCTGCGTTTTTGACGGCATAAAATAAGCTGAAAAAAACTTGAGTGTGCCGTCGCCATTTCTTGTAAAAATGTTGAAATAGAAAAAAAACTTTCTTACCAGATCGTCCTCCAGGTCTCTGATGGGTGGATGAGACTGCTCCTGGATCATGAACACCGCCAGGTTTGCCGTGTAGCTGGCCAGGAAGATGGTGGCGAAGAACGCCCACACGCACACCATGAACTTACTGGTCAGGCCCTTCGGGTTGAACACCGGCACGGAGTTGTTGAAGAGAAGAGCCCACAGCACCCACACGGAGTCGAAAAACGTAAATGGCGTACCTGTTGGCAAACAAAAGAAAGTCACATTTACACTACGTTCCGGAATGTATTGTAAACAGAAATAACTAGTACTATGAACTATGTAACACCGTCAGTGCACTATGCACCAAGTAACATATAGTGTCAGTGCACAGTAAACCAGTCAGAATTGCCCTGGTGAAGATGACAGACGGTCACCGAAACGTCGGCTTGAAAAATAAATGGTTGTGATAAAGAGAACTTTGCTATTCAGTCGTTTACCAACCTGATGAAATTATTTACGGAAGAAAAGAAATTCATTTTCCATCATTTTTATCCAGGGTGGCCTCTTCAGTGTTTTTTTTAGTGGGGCCCTGCGTCATACATAAATAGGCATGTAAAGTACATGAAGTCAAATACAAACAATAAAATTAAGATACAATCAATAAGGATAATGACAATGATAAGTTACGACAAGTAAGAGAAACGAGTGTAGGTAAGTTTAAAATACAATTTACTAAAAACGCTTCCCTATGTTAATTCAGCGTTAAAATGTATTTCAAATTCTCTTTAATGCACCACCTCGGTCTAGTAAGTGACTACACAAAATTTGTTTCTAATTTGAAACTCCCATTTCTGCAACTATTGCCGTCGACGTTACTAGTAACTTCATGTATGCTTAGACAGGCAGTATAGACATTATAGGAAACAAGAGCCACCTATCGACTGATATGCAGACTGCAGGGATGGCATTCAACCCATATCTTACGAAGTTAACTGGATAATGATGCCTAAAACAACACTGAAAACACTCATTTTTATCCGTAAATAATTTCCTCGGCTTGGTGAGTGAGTAAATAGTAAAGTTCTTTTATTCACAACAATAAAAGAAATACTACTAAACCACAGGTATACAAGCTGGTATTGTAAATATGCTGCAGTACTTAGCGAGGTATACGACAAGCCGGTATATGCTGGCTTTTTGTGGAATTTATGAATCAGCACTGTACGTATGTACTGAGTTCTTGAGTCGTGGAGCTTCGGTAGCCTGGGTGCCGTCCTCCAGAGTTACCACCTCCGTATTGTCGCTAATTACCATGGATTACCCATGCCTAGAGCCAGGCCAGAGCCTTGGAGGATCATCCATAAAATTAATACGGTGTGGCCTAATGATATTTTAGAACGTATACACAATGTTGCTGCACAGTACCGGTGAAGTCCGGCTGGTCCTCCCGTAGTTTGCTGTTAGGCTGTAAGCTGAAGCCGTGGATCTGGATCCAGTCGAAAAAGAAAACGGCCAGGGCGGAAATGACGACAAACCCGATTGACATCATCAGCCAGAACGTCCAATCAAAAGGCTCTGGAAAATACATCAAATCTAAGTCTACTAGGGCATTAAGGAAGCCATATATATCAGGACACTCCGGCCATCACTTAACCCTACCTAGACCGGGCTTTTTTGGGCATGGGGGGGACCGGGGGGGGGGTCATTTGACACCCCCCCCATAAGAACTCAAGAACGGTATGTCGTATGATCACTAAATTTTCAGAGGATGGTGTACTATTGAAAATTTATCATATCTACAATTTTTATGTCGTTATGAGGTAATATGACGTCATTATGACGTCAATAAGACGTCATTAATGTGATTTTATTGGCCAAAACCGTCTAAACTAAATGGTATTCAACATAACTGTACCAAAAGTGTTTATGACAGAATATTATGGTGTACTAAGTCTTATGTTGCCCTTAGCAACACCGGTGACGTCATAAAATGACGTCATGCATATTTAAGATATCCGCCATCTTGGATCATCAATCTTGAATTTTCAAAAATAGTTATTTTTTTCATAATAAAGCCTAAAATACATTGTAAACATACTAAAGACCTTCATTTAAACCTTTTTTGGAAAAAGAAATGGAAGTATTGATGAAATTTTAACGAAAATAACCAATATATACCTGTTCTAATGATATGGTCCGCCATCTTGGTTTTTGGCCAATGACGTCTTCAAATTAGCATAAAATTATGCATAATTATTTAATGATAAAATTTACATTAAATTATATGGTATGTTATTAATATTAGAAACCATAAGTAACCTGACATAAAACCCATGAAATTCTATTGTTGAAACAAAAACTACTAAATTTAGCAAAAAATGCCTGTCAGAAACCCGTTGCCATGGCAACACAAAAAATTATTATCTTATTCCAATGATAGAAAATTGTTGCCAACAATATTCTAGGAAAAGTCACCAAGTTTGGCCGTTCTAGCGCTAGCCGTTCAGACGCTAGGTGACATCAAAGTTGTCGCGGGCACTTTTACCCCTCCCCCGGTCTAGGTAGGGTTAACAGAGACGGTGGACGATATAAACTCTCAAGCACGATTGATCAATTGCTGACATCATGTATCTCGTGTGAATAGGTCACGTGCTTGTAACCGTAACTCTCGCGAAATTACCAGCAGTGTTTAGGGGTCAGATTTGACTCAAATTCAACTCAAATTCGATTCGTTTAGAAAGGTGAACGTGGCCTAAATCTGGTCAGACTACTCTGCAACCTCAGCCAAAAATTTAAGGCGTGAGGTTCCTCAAAACACGTTCGTGTCTTTCCTCCCAGGGGAAGCTGTGCGTGTCGTGAGGAATCTCACGCCTTGCATTTCCTCGTTTTAGGTAACCCATATGGGGAATGTTCTTAGTGTGCGAGCTTTTATATAGATATATTCTTACCATTTTCATAAATTCAGTGAGTTGGATAAATATTACGAACTTGGCATGTATGTTGGCGAAGATTGAGCATATTGAATAGTACGAAACAAACAGTATTTTAAACTTTCATTCTTTCCTTGCTTACAATGCCATGAGTATTAGATACCTAGAAACGCTGTGGGTGAGACAGATCCGGGTCTTTTCAACACCATCAGCTTGTACCCGGTCTCGAGAAACGGTACCGAGAAGTCCACGGCAGCCATCCGCTCTTCTGTGGTCTTCAGAGACGACATGGCCAGGTGAGCTTTGCCCTGAATACATGGGGAACATTTCAAATTAAACAAGGTATCATATATATATATAACAGAGAATTTGAATACTATCTAGTTTTACTATTAAAAGCCCCGCTATAGACCGATCTGGATCGAACATATCAAACCCCCGACAGGTTCTATTTCGAACACCTCGAAATAGAACAAGGGATTCGATGCGTTCGATTTAGATTCAATGCTGGTGTTCATCTTATCAGTGCTCAGTTCTCAACCCAATCACACCACGCAATCATGAACAAGAAGTCGGAGATCTCAGACCTCCATGAAATATTTAGATCATGTTTGTGACTGTGTCCTCTTCTCATTCACTATGGTGTCTACATACCAGTTTGTCTTTAGCGTTCAATGGTAGCAACATTATCTGTTAAGGAGGTCATGTAACGAAAAACACATGTAAAATCACCATCAGATGTAGACGTGATTAACGAATATTTCTCCCTCTCGGACGGACCGAACCCACCCATGTACATTACAACCTGGCCTAATTATAAGGACCATGCGGAAACACAAACACACACACGGACACACACAGACACACACACTCACACATACCAAAAACAATACAGTCATTATTCATGAAGGTAACTATTTATGGTGGTATAGTGACGATTTTTGCAGCTATGTTGTTGTTGTTGTTGTTGTTGTTTGTTATTGGTTTTGTTTGTTGCTGTTGTTGTTGTTCTTGTTTGTTTGTTGTTGGTGTTGTTGTTTGTTGTTATCGTTTGCTATTGTTTGTTGCTGTTGTTGGTGGTGGTGGTAGTGGTCTTGTTTGTTGTTGCTGTTGTTTGTTGTTTGCTATTGTTTGTTGCTGCTGTTCTTGTTGTTGTGGTTGTTGTTTGTTGTCGGTATTGTTGTTTGTTGTTATTTGTTTGTTGTTGTTGTTACCTGTATAAGATCCTGCACCATCCCGTTCCAGCGGCCCCGTTGGTAGGCGCCGAAGTTGTTGTCCTCCACCAGATACAGCGTGTACTCGAACCACACGTCACGTGACAGCCTCTCCAACAGGTCCACACAGAACCCAGCACAGCACTTAATCACTGTGTCACTGGGAAGAGAACATAGCTACAATCTAAACAATTTGCTACTAAAATCAAAGAACCCACATATTATAGAAGAAGTGGGTAAATTTGTCTTCCACTGCTTCAAAAGAAGAAGTCAAAGCCATCAAAACTAGTACCACGTATGTTGTAGAATGTAGTATAGTGTTAGACGTAGTCTCTCATACCATTGTATTTTCTTTTTCATACATGTTGTTTGTACCTGCAATTAGCCCTCGGGCATGTATTTGCAATAAACTTTATTCTTTCTTTTTAAATTTTGTTGTAAGGAAAATGGTAGCTTTTTCCTGTGATCCATGCTGTTAGGTTCTTTCACATTTTACGTAACAAAACAGCTGCATCGAATGATAATAATGAATTAATAAATAAAATGCATTTCACATTTCCCAACCGGGGCCCGGCCGGGCTGTTTTCATTAACGAAAAATTAACAATTCATATCAATACAAGAGCTACCTATCATCCAAACTTCGTGACCCTAGTATGTCTATGTCATGAGATATCAAAACCTGACGTTCAGCTGCAGTACCATACGAAGCCACCAGGGGTCCAAAAATCTAATCATCTCGAGGTCTTGTCAAGACCTACCCACCTACCAAATATCAAGTAAATCCATTTAAGTCGTCTCAAGTTATCGTGTTTACAGACCCACAGACACACGTACACACGAACGCCTCTGAAAACATTTTTCTTCTTGGAGAAGGTAAATATAACGCAAATAACACTCATGATTAGGTCCTAAAACATGTCTTCTTCTCTTTTATATCGTACTTTTTGCTCGCAAAAAGTTCCCGGCCGGGCCCCGGTTTGGAAATGTGACCTCAGCATAACGTTGCGCCCCCTCCCATCCGGAACCCATATACCCCAGATACATAATTGGTCTTTTACTCACTTCCCTACTTTTTTCTCACAGGGGATCCCCTTCAGACATTTGCCCAGGGTTTTGTCCACCTCGCCGACGAAGACGAAGGGGTGTTCCTCGATCGTGACGACCCTGAGGGAGCGCGGGTTGGACATGCCGCTCGGCGGGTTAAACCTCTCCCCGGGCCACACGATCACGTTCAGGTCAACGGACTTGGTCTCGTGCCAGGTCCCTACCTTCAGTTGCACAACGTGGGAGAACGTGTGAATGAAGTTGCTGGGTATTTGCGTTAGGCCACAGCAAGTACATTTTATGGATGACATCATTCACAGACTCCAAATCTGACGCGAGCGTGCGAATGAAAAAGAAGTTTGGCAAAAAAGTTGCCTTTAATATGAAGTTTATGTGGTTAAAAGGTTAAACAAATGCCTAAACACAGGGAGTAGAATTTTTTGGCATGGTGAATAATAGACTTTTCATTTTCATTCCTTAACATTTTCTCCTTGTCCTTTGGAGTGGATTTTGGCATTCTTCGACATAAGTGTCGTTTTCCTTTTTTTTAATTTACGGCATATATTTGCTCATTTTGCAACTACTTTGTACGATCTACAGTATGGTCGAAAACTTTTTTATGTCACTCATATAATCAAATCAAAATGGCCTAACATATCATTTCTTTTTCTTTACATTTTAGCCAAAGTGATCCAGCAAATACAGTTAATAAAACACACTGAAATGCATTAGCACTCCGGTACTTTGATTTGAACGTACTTTGACTTGAACCGAAACGGCACCGGTAGGTACAGTGTGAAGCAGGAGTAATGGTTAAACTACTCCACCACGCGACTCAAATGGGAACAGCAGAAAAACAGCCACCATGCGATATTCGTAATAACTGCACAACAGCAGTGCTTACCTGGTTCCACCTCTTGTCCTTCCCGATGTTCAGGATGTGAAATGTCGGCAATTTGACAAATCCGTCCCGGCTGAAGGACCTTTCCTGCAAGCTCCTAGTGAGTGAATGGAAGTGAATCAGTATAGTTACCCAGCACCTAAATACAATCAACCGCAATCTTCATGCAGGTATGTTAACCTGAAGGCAACGTGGTTGCAATTAGACCATTTGTCGCTAGGGGTCCTTGTAGGCTGGCACTGTTTTGGTATTCGGTATGATAAAATGGACAGTCAATTTTCTGGCATTAAAGAAATGAATTGTTGAATCATATTGATTACTACCTGCAATGTGCCGGTGTCACTCTAACCCCATAGCTTTATCATATAATACCTATTGAAATGCCCTGTCTTGTCTTATTTTGTCTCCAGGAGTGACAGAATATACAGTGCAATTTTACAGAATACAGTGCAATTATCAGAATACAGTGCAATTTTACGGAATACAGTGCAATCGTATTAGTATACAGTGAAATTTTACGGAATACAGAGCAATCGTATTAGTATACAGTGCAATTTTACTAGTAAAATATACTAGTAAAATTGCATTGTATATTACTACGATTGCACTGTATTCCGTAAAATTTCACTGTATACCAGTAAAATTGCACTGTATTCCGTAAAATTGCACCTTATACTCTTGTACTTATGTGTACGTATATACCTCGTCTTGTCTTGTCAGCAGGGCAAGCCCTTTGTAATAGCCACATGCTAGTTCCCTCACTACATGTGTTGAACAGCCAAACCAATACATAAGTATACCCCATACCTATTACATAACACACCAGTTGATGCATTCCACTCAAAACGAAGAAACGAGACTACCTGAGAATCCTTCTGCCTGACTCAGCGTGCGCTTCCGTCGTATTCCAACAGGTGGCGCTGTCTCGCATGTTGACAACATGGCCGCTGTTGATCACATGCTGCACACTACTTCCCAACGAATCCAACGCAAACTGTACCCTCAACACATCATCCCACCTGTGTTCATACGCTAGAGCTATCAACCCTACGGGAAAACTACGCGGAACACTCGAACCATCCGCAAGGTCCATTCTCGACGTCAGTACAATAATCCACACATAGTTGTTACTGGTTAATCCCAACATATTGGCGGCTCTGAATATAGTGCTAGCTTCTTTCTCGGAGCAAAACATGACGATGACTCTCTCCTTGATGTTCAGGAGAGTTCGGTACACTCTCATGCGGTTGCGTGGGTCATGTACGCGGGCGTCCATATACACGGGAGTCATGACGAAGTCCGAGTCCGGGGCGAGGTCGCCGAGGTATTCCTGCATGGCCTTGACGTAGGCGACCGATTTGGGTGTCCTGGTGGCGACCACGGCGAAGTTTGACCACTTGTAGTTGTGCAGGAATCCGACGACAGCGGCACACTCCTGTCTACGGGACACGCCGTGGTTCAGCATCATCACTCCCAGGTCCTGGATAAACAAGAAAGGACATCTCATAATTGCCTTCGTCAGAAGGCTATGAAATCACTTTAATTGCTATAGTGTGGGAGACTATACGGCATGACTCTTGAAGGCATGATTCGATGTTCATGATTTTTGGCAGGCAGGTTACCGCTGGGAAGACCAAGGTCAAGTTAAAAAATGGGCCTCGTAGACGGCCCGTACGTCACTGCAGTGGACCTTTCGTGTTTGTCGTTTTTATTGTGAACAGGATAACTCGAGTATATTTAAATGGCTGTTCTTGATGAATATCACTTTGTTATGAAATGCACTATAATGTTTTACGTCATATTACTTCATATGATGGCATTTATTTTTAGCAAATGGCTTCTGAGTGGAACATTTGTCATTTAACTACGGCAAAACACAGTGTGGATCCATCAAAGATAATGTACGGTTTCTCATATACATACCAACCACACACATAAACAACAAACTATTTCTGCAATTTGAGACGTGTGTTGTTTTACTTCCTTAAAGCCAAGCTCGTTATTCCATCTCGCTGCCTTTTTTATAGTCTATCATTACTCTGTTCCATACTGATATTATACTGCAAACCTCAGTTTCTGAACGATTTTAAAATTGATATTTGTGGCGAACGCCAAGAAAAGAAACATCAAAACCTCGTTTGTAAGCTGTCCTTGGCTGTTAGTGCAATCCTTATGTTGAAGTCAAATGAAGTACTCTTGCTACCGTTCCACGTTACCTACACATTAGGATTTTATGCAACCGCCTGTAAAGGATCTTCGAGCTTACAGGCAACAAGTTTACAGGGCTCGAAATACTGTGTGCATGTGCACCTTAGTGCAAGCAAAATTTTGGAGCTGTGCACCAATTTTTTCTGCACCTGTGCACCCGAATATTTTCGTAGGTAAGATGTTAATGTATGGTAGTACACAGCATATTCTTAACATCTTCGTGTCAGAAAAATATCACAAAACCATTGTTATAATACTTTAATTTAAAGATGAAACAAAATCAGTTTTGCTTATATTCTACTTATTTTATCTTATATGGTGCATCCAAGAAATTTTTGTGCACTGATGTTTTAGGTTGGGTGCACCAGTGCACCTATCCCTGACTGAGGTGTTCAAGAATTCATTCTTTCTTAGAAGTATCGCAGAGTGGAACTTGCTGTCACCAAGTACAGTAGGGGCATTGTCATTAAATAGCTTTAAACAATGTCTAGAGTTAGATGGTTCAAGGGTTAGGTGTAACAAGTCGATTGGTGTAATGTAGCCAGCTGCCGCGCCGCGTGCCTGCGAAGCTGGTGTGTTACGCCGAAGGGCGGTTATACCAGCTAAACAGATACAGAAGCTGGTGTGTTACACTGAAGGGTGGTTATACCGGCTGTACAGATACAGAAGCTGGTGTGTTACACTGAAGGGTGGTTATACCAGCTATACAGATACAGAAGCTGGTGTGTTACGCCGAAGGCCGGTTACACCGGCTATACAGATACAGAAGCTGGTGTGTTTCGCCGAAGGGCGGTTATACCGACTATACAGATACAGAACCTGGTGTGTTATGCCGAAGGGTGGTTATACCGGCTATACAGATACAGAAGCTGGTGTGTTACGCCGAAGGGCGATTATACCGGCTATACAGATACAGAAGCTGGTGTGTTACGCCAAAGGGTGGTTATACCGGCTATACAGATACAGAAGCTGGTGTGTTACACCGAAGGACCGTTATACCAGCTATACAGATACAGATACTGCTCCCCAATGAATTTCGAGCCCTGAGTTTGACTCAAGCTTGGTGTATTCCTGTGCACATGAATGTTTTAGTAAGAGTGGCAGTCTTTGGCTTTATTCCACCGATCTATTGTCCCCGATCTGCCGTTTGTTTTAATAAGACCCGGGGACTACCGACGTCGTCAGCAGTCTTGTTCAATAAAGCAAATTACGGGCAATGGGCCGTGTGATTTGTGTTCAGCCATTTCGTGTCCCCCTTCAGTCGTTAATTCATTTTTCGCGACGCCATTTTCTCAGTCATATCTTGTCATATTATAGCGTAATATTAATACGTATTACAGCTGACTATAAAATAAATGAAACCAACACAACATAAACCAACAAAAGGTCCGAAATATTGACATTTTGCGGTCATCCTGGGATAAGTACTTGTTTGAAATCAATGTACTTTCCTGTCCTTCCTTCCTTAAAATGTTAACGTGCCGACCACAGGAAAGTACCAACGTATCTCACACTAACGTTACCGTTAGGCTACAGCAAGTAAATTTTATGGATCACATACTCCGCAGGTATCCAATGCGATAGGGCGAAAAAACAGGCGGGCCAAAGAAAAAAAGATTCCTACATTTTCAAATTTCGATATCATAAGCCTTGCTGAACAAAGAATGATACCTATATTGTGCTAAGTTTACTGCCGACTATTACAACATCCATTTCTCACTGAAACAACTGAAGTAGTAAGTTGAAAGAAAATATGTTTTTAATCATTATACAAATGCTTTTGATTTGGTGGGGACATGACATATACACAGCCACCATCACATATAAAAAAAATGAAATACATCACTGCATCAAAGAAAAAGACAAAACATTAAATCAGAGCGTTGTCTTGTCTCCTCTCTTCATATTTATCTGCCATCCACGTTCCGGCATGGCAACAGACATCTTTGCTCATTATCGGCATGTTGACCACTGTCAGAGGGCAACAAAATTTCTTGTTTTCCATTTTCCAAAATCAGGCGAAAATTAATGCGCGTGCTAATGTCATCCATAAAAATTGCTTCCTATGGCCTTACCACACGAAACGATGATGACACAAGGACCTCATTTTGCACTGTACGACCTGTAATGGACCGGACTATTGGGAGGGCAATCGCGGGGGTGATGGAGTGAGATAAAGTTGACAATAAAACAACTATTATTACCTTCTCTTGTGGCCATTTTCCGGACAATCGATACAACCATCCACGATAAAAGCGAGTACCAAAAAACTCAGAAAACTTTCGTAGAACTAGAAATGTAACATTTGCAAAGTAAAATAATTCATAATGTTTACCTTGAAATATGGTCTGCTCTGTTAATTCTGTTAACACATTCATATGTATAAGAGGTATTCAGTCATCTCACGTCCACCAGTAATGACCATACAATAGAAACACTATGTGAATTTATCTACAATTGCTTTAAAAAGAGAGAAGAAATCTTCAAGGCCTAGATTGGTTTATTCTCTAGTAGTTGGTAAGACTTTTACGTTATTCCGTTATCCTTGTATCCTATGTATCATGTTAATCAGTATGATGTACATGTAATGTTCATTCTGATGTATGCATTTAGCCCCATGGGCATGAACATGCAATTTTAATCTTTAAAAAGATTAAAGATTTATTATATGTATGGTCAGACAGAAGTCTAAATCCCTCCTGCCATAAAATTGCAACATGATGTAACCCAACACCAGTTACCATTGTGACAGACGTCTGGTTCAGGTCATTGACCTTATTTGTTTGGAGAAGAAGAAGAAACTGAGCAAAAACAATATGTTTCCTTCTGCGAAGATAAACATAAGAATCCGTCTAAAGATCCTAAACAAACTGTAGGTTGCAGAAGTACTCTTACGTAAGTACGTTATCGAGTGTATCTTTAGTGTGAAAAGGCTGTAATGACCCATTTGTATGGACTCATAAAGTAGATCTAATCGATAGAATAGAGCCTTCGGTGATTAAACAAATTGGCCACTTTCGAACAAGAACGTTGAGGCCTGTGTGTGATACATGTGGGAAACACTGTTTCGAACGGAATGACTGTATGTATAGGTTAGCCAATCACGGAACGGTTCCTTTTGAATGACGTGTTTTTACTACTTATACCTCTGCTGGAGCATACTATTAGATGTATCATGCGCTCTCATTGGTAAGATTAAAATGCCTATGATCTGTTCAAGCAATGCATAATCTCAGCATATCCCACTGTCTTGCTATTGAAGACTTTGGTAGCTTTTAATGTGAAATAATTCGAAAAGCAACAACAGGGAATATCAATACGGATGGATGTGATGCAGACATTTACATGATCAGCATCTTGGGTTTAAAATGTATTTGAAGTTTATTCAATACGTTAGATACTATAGATAAATTCAATTACATTCTCAGGGGAGATAACCAATACACTGATCAAATAGGGAAATACATTGAAGAGTGTTTAAATCTTAGAGACTACATGTTAGACAATACTTGAACCTTTATTGTTGCCACTGACATGTTTTATGTACGCAGTTTGCCGCAAACATATATATATATATATATA